GTCACCAATTTCCCTCCTGTTCCGAGATTGTACAACGTATGGCTGCACCGCCACGATACCCTTCACACCCTCTTCAGAAAAGAGTCTTAGAAAAGACCCTCTCTAAGCTTAATTCCTTAATGTTCGTCACTTCTTCAGTATACCTTTCTGAAGCGCTTGAGTAGAAGAGTTAGTACCAGAGCGTCCCGTTAAGCAGTCGTTTTCCTCTTTGCAAGGAAATGTAGCCACGCTTTCCCTGGAAAATCTGTGCTATTTATTCCCCGTGCCGTCTAAGAGAGAGATTGAAGCTCTTTCTGGCTCCTCTCTTTCTTCCCTAGGGCAGAAACTTCTTCCTGGGGCGTAGCGACATTGTTTCTTCGGTCTTCCAAACATTGAACTTGATGGTCTATATCCGTATTTTGATAGGTGTTTCTTTGTTAATGTATATCCATAATCCTGTTTTTGCCGTTTATTTCTCTCTCTCTTTTTTTTTTTAATTATTATTAAGTGTCTCTTAATATGCTTGGAGAAGGCGCACAGTGTAGGTAGGAAGGCATTGTTTGAGGGAAGGCTTATGACAACTAAATATTCGGAAACTCTCATATTATATGGGTTTGGGATTATAAAGAGGAATATATAAAGCCATCCTTAATGGAAAAGAAACCCACATTATAAATAAATGTTCAGATAAATGTGTCCGGATTAAATTATTAATATGCGGCTGCTGAGGCTTCCTTCCTTCCTTCCTTCCTTCCTTCCTTCCTTCCTCCCTCCCTCCCTCCCTCCCTCCCTCCCTCCCTCATTATATAAAGGACTTAAAGGATTCCACAAGGGTCAAGTGTGTAGGGGCGGGAGAAAGGAAGAAATAGCACTCATCATTTTTCTATGTGGAGATAATATTCCTTTTCTTTGCACCTGGGGAATATGGCTGGGAAACGTCCGAGAAAGGACGAAACACCAACGTAACCCCCGCACGGGAGCGGCGATAGCGATAAAAATTATGAGACATGTATTATGCCAGGTATTCCTCTGTGCCGCCGAGAAACAGTGCAAACGGCACGGGAGCGCTGCAGTGCTCCTTCGCGGCTCCAAGTGTCGCTGTTGGCTCACGGTGAGCTGATAGTCAGGCAGAGAGCGCGAGACGAGAAGAGAGGCCGAGAGAGCGGAGCCGCCGGAGTGAGTTCCAGGAGAGCGCAGGAAGCAGCGCGGAGCGAAACGAGCCTGTTCGTGCTGCTGTGAGGGGAGGCTGATCGAGCAGGAGAAGAGGGAGAGCTGTGTCGCGATCTGGAAATGTGGTCCGGAGAGGGGCGCCTAGCTCGGCGACGTCTATTGCTGCTTTGGTGCGTCTTGGTGGTGGGATGGGAGCTTTCGTGGGGACAGCTGCGCTACTCAGTGCCCGAGGAGATGCAGAAAGGCGCCTTTGTGGGCGACGTAGCCAAGGACCTGGGGCTGGAGCTCTCAGTGCTCCGCGACCGCGGCGCCCGTGTCGTTTCCGAAGGTAGGAGACAATATTTTTCTTTCAATGAGAAGACCGGCCATTTAGTGACGGCCGAACGCATAGACAGGGAGCAACTCTGCGATGTCGCGGATGAGTGTGTACTGCAGTGTGAGATGATAGTGGAAGGTGAAATGAAGGTTTATGCAATCCAAGTGGAAATCAGAGATATTAACGACAACGCGCCCAGCTTCCGAAACGCAGAAACGCAAGTGAAAGTGAGTGAAACGGCAGCCCTCGGGTGGCGATATCCCCTTGCTGAGGCTCATGATCCGGACACTGGTAGCAATTCTCTGCAGCGCTACGAGCTGAGTGGTGACGAGCACTTCTCCCTGGCCGTCCAAACAGCACCCGATGGGGAGAAACGTCTGGAGCTGCTACTGGCGAAGGCGCTGGACCGCGAGGAAGCCGCCTTCCACGAGCTCGTGCTGACGGCGGTGGACGGCGGCGACCCAGAGCGGACAGGCACGGCGCGGATCCTCGTGATCGTGTTGGACGCCAACGACAACGCGCCGGAGTTCAGTCAGGCTGTGTACATGGTGCGCGTGAGGGAGGACGTTCCCGTGGGCACCGTCCTGCTCACCGTCAGTGCCACCGATGCCGATGATGGGATGAACGGAGAGGTGACATTTTCATTTCAAAAGATTTCAGTAAAAGCATACGACATATTCCATCTGGACACCGAAACGGGAGTGATCACCCTGGTCAGAAGTCTGGACTTCGAGGAAAGTGATTCGTACGAACTCGGCGTGCAGGCAAARGACGGTGGAGATCATTTCGACACTGCCAAAGTCTCGATCGAGGTGATTGATGTGAACGACAACGCACCCGAAATGGCAGTCACGTCATCGGTGAGCGCGATTCCAGAGGATTCTCCGGCGGGGACGGTGGTGGCCCTGCTGCACGTGCAAGACCGCGATTCCGGGGCAAACGGGGAGGTGAGGTGCTCCCTGGACGCGGGGCTGCCCTTCCGTCTGCGCAGCTCGCTGGGCAACTACTACAGCATGGAGACGTCGAGGGAGCTGGACCGCGAGGCGGTGTCGGAGTACAACGTGACGGTGCGGGCGACGGACGGCGGGTCGCCGGCGCTGTGGAGCAGCGCGGTGCTGCCGCTGCGC